TCCATCACACCAAATTGCTGCCATTCTTGCTCCGGGTTATGTGCATAGCCAAAAACATGGCGTCCCTTCATGGTTGCCGAATTATAGATTCAAGCAATTAAACACGGGTGCCGAAGCTGTTTAATAATTTAGACAACTGTATTTGAACTCTAAGTCACGTTACTGTGATTCGTTATTTTGACCGTTATTCCTTTTATCACGTTATCCACCTTTGTTTAGGTTACGCTTAAGCCTCGTTTTAGCTCGTCTGCCCATGCTGAAAGGCTGCATTATTTGCATTCATATTTAAGCAGTAAACTTACAAACCTTAATGAAAGTCATTTAACAGACAAAGTTGAAGGCCTATAACAAACCTAAAAACATACCTTGCTATTGGAGAGCATATCGTAACCAGTGCAAGGATGAAACTGTATTTCTTTTGGATTAATTTTCCAGATCAGCCCAGCCAACTCTTGCTCGTATTTTCGATTCCTAGAAAGAACGTGTTAGAGGCAAGAGCAGAACATCAAAGAACAAGTTTCACCTGTAGTAAATGAAGCTAACAACTGATAAAATCATTAAAACAACTCCAACGGCTCCACAAACGATTTCAACACCGTAACCTAAAACAACATACAACTAACTGCATAAATAAGCAAATGTTTTCGAATCATTCATTAGGTTCGACAGTAAATCTGGGTGTTTACGCGTTCATCAAGGGTATCCAGGTGACTTGGTGAATACGGTTACGGGGATAAAGGGTCCTGCCACAATTAACCTGCTTGTCACGCGAAAGATTAACAGACGCCTGCCGCTGTCATTCATGCTGTCAATACCGTTACGGACAAGTACGCCTAGCCAAGTGCCGTACTTGGCGCCCGCCTTCGCGCTGAGGTCACTTGTGTTAATTATGACGTCTTGAGGAGACAAAGCACTAAAAGCCGACGCAAGCAGTCACAGAAAGGATGTTTGTCGCTGTCACTCGACAAGGTTGCATGGGCACAATCGACAATGACATTTGCTATTTGACATTCACGTCTCGCCGACATGCGCTAAATGAACGCTCGGTTTACTCTAGTGGATAAGAGGATTCCCACACCGGCACGGCGTAATCTACTGTGGCCTGAGCACAAAAATAACCACACGTCAAGCGACTCTTTTCCCGGAAGGAGAAATTGCACTGA